CCTAAATTCTTACAATCCACAATATCTCACACAACAGGACTAAGCAGACATTTGTGGTATTTGAGTCACTCGGACTGATTTTTCAACTCAATTATTGAACTGCATAAATGTTATTTGTATTTAAGATGAAAATCGGGCTACGGCCATATCATGTTGAAACACCGATTCCCGCACGATCGCCGAAATTAAGCAACGTCGATCCTAGTTATATCAGGTACTGAAAGATTAGATGCCCGGATGGTGTAAGGAATAACGGCTCAGAATTTGCTAATGGCAGAACCGAGTTCCAATTTCTGTCAGGTTTGTTATATTCACTGATGCGCAAATACTCTTGGGAAAGGTACAAAGCATTCTCTTCTCCCCCCTATGGGTTAATTAGTAACACTTGTATCAGTAAATCATTATTATCTCAAAAAAAATTTACAATCTAAAAAAATTTTCTGTTTTTAAATAACCTGCAAAAGGTTGATAAGCCATGAAAAAGAAATCAGTTAAGATGAAGATGAAAGCAAAACTTAGACATTTCTAAATAAAACTTTTATATTTCTAATTAAAAAGTAGGGGTTGAGGTCTAAAAACCTTAGTCTGCAATGAAGAGCCATAATTTCGGAAAAGAGCTCATATTTTGCATTTAACCCAACTAGGCTTCTTCTGGGGTGATTTTCAATGCTAAAAATTATTCAATTTCCCCAAAAGCACAAGACTAGAGGTCTAGATCATGATTTTCTGATAAATACAATGAAAGTTATTTCTGTCTGAATGTCTGGCTGGTGAGTTATCATTATTTACATACAGGCTGTTGTCTTCATCTTTGTTGTTATCACATTCTCAAAATATTTTCTGTCTTTAAATAGCCTGCAAAAGGTTGATAAACCCTCAAAAAAGAAATTGATCAATCAATTATTAAGAGGAAGATTAAAGCAAAACTTACACCTTTCAAAACAAAACTTTTCACATTTGTATTAAAAAATAGGGGTTTAGGTGTAGAGACCCTGGTCTGCAGGGAAGAGATAAAATTTTCAAATACTTTTATGCTTTACATTTAACACGTTTACACTTCTTTTCGCCAGATTTTCAATTCCAAAAATAGATTCAGGACAGAAAAAGTTTTCTTTCGCCTGAATTTATCTGTTCCGGCGTCCTGGATATGACGATAAACTACATCCGCGTCCTGGGTAAGACGATAAACTACATCCAGCAGCAAGGCCTCTGATCAGGAGGGTTTTGAGGAGCGTGGAACCACCTCTTAATTTCTGGTGTTCTCAGGTCCACCCTGACCCGGGGTGGTAGCACCTGTTAGGGTTCCAGATATGGGCAAATAGTTAACCCCGAAACTGGGGTCAAAACACTATGAAAGTGTAAAAATAGGTTTTAATACCAGAAATACTTTGTAAAAAATTATCAGCAGTACATTTTTGGAAAAAAATTACCAACAATATATTTTTGAAAAGAAAATATTACCAACAATACGTTTTTGAAAAAAATATTACCAGCAATACAGTTTTGGGAAAAATATTACCAGCAATACAGTTTTGAAGGAAAAAATTATTACCAGAAATAAATTTTTGGCAAAACAAAATATTACCAACAATAAAAATTTTGTCGGCATTAAATAACCCATTGAGGTTGATATGCCGTTAAACAAAATAAACCAAACCAATCTAAACCAAAGAATACATATTCTATTCATACAAATCTATCCTAAAAATGTTGTCGGCATTAAATAAACAAAATGAGGTTGATATACCTTAAAACAAATAAACCAAACCAATCTAAACCAAAGAATACATATTCTATTCATACAAATCTATCCTAAAAATGTTGTCGGCATTAAATAAACAAATGAGGTTGATATACCGAAAAACAAATAAAAAAAAATCCAAATTTATTCTACGAATCTATCCTAAAAATGTTTAAATAAACCCATTGAGGTTGATAGAAAAAAAAGAAAAAATTATCTGTTCCGTTTAAATCAGAAAAGAAAATATTCAGAAACGACTGCGATTCGTTGAAAAATATTCAATGTAAAAATTTGAGTGCATATATATTTCAACCGGAAGTAATACGCGGATCCGACTGCGTACAGAACGCATAGGGGGTCATCTCGCCAAGTGAGTCCGGTCACGTCCGTTGTTGTCTCTAGCTGTGATTCGTTCCACAAGAGAACGTGATATTGTTTATCAGTTTTTACCTTAAGATAACGATAAGACAACGAGCAGACGTTTGGATTTACTAGGATAATATAATCACATTCAGCGGTAAAATGGAGAATCCTTTTGTTTATGGGATTTATTCTTCAGTCCGGACAGAACTGAAGAAATAATTACTTTTTCTATGAAACGCTAAGTCAGAAGCGTAAATGGCCATGTCTTGAACTAATGGGTTTCCGTGACCGTAATTAAAAATTTGATTCGTAAACAAGCAGACGACATGGCGAGAAAGAGTTATCCAAAATGTCTCGTACAAGTAAGAAGTCCACATTATCTCCTAGCCGGGTCTAACGCCGATAATCACGGCCGATGCCTAATTAAGGTATCTAATTAAAACTGTGTACTAAGATAAAGCTAGAACAATTATTAAAACTAAAGTTTCATTGGAAATCATGACTTTCTGATGTACGTTTTCTTCTTGAAAGTACACCGCCATTGTTTGATGATGGCGATGATAACGATGATGACGATGATTTCTAAGAGATTAGACATTAGGCTTTGATAATCACGTTATCATTCGTTTCGTGGAGAGCACAACGGGTAGTGAAAAGAACAGTGCACGCTCACGTGAGGGAGAGAATTATTCGGAAGCGTTGGGGTAAAAAAAAGCAAAAAAAAACGAGCATCAACGTGACCACTTCGGGTAAACAAGGACATTCCTTAGCATTGTTAGAATCGGCACAGATAAAAACAGAAACCAACAATACCTGAGTTCTTCATACATTGAAGAATTTGAAAGTGTCAAGGTTGACCAAACAAAAAAGAAAGAAAGAAAGAAAGAAAGAAAGAAAAAGAAAGAAAGAAAGAAAGATCAGATACTGATATATATAAATTGATTGTCATAGATATGAACAGATTTAGAAAGAAAGAAAGAAAGAAAGAAAGAAAGAAAGAAAGAAAGAAAGAAAGAAAGAAAAAAGAAGAAAGAAAAGGAAAACAAGCAGAGAAGGTATATATAAAAGAAAGAGAACAGAAAAAAGAAAGAAAAGAAAGAAAGAAAAGAAAGAAAGAAAAGAAAGAAAGAAAGATACTGGTATATATATAGAAAGATCAGATAAATAGATATGAACAGATTTAGAAAGAAAGAAAGAAAGAAAGAAAGAAAGAAAGAAAGAAAGAAAGAAAGATCAGATACTGATATATATAAATTGGTTGTCATAGATATGAACAGATTTAGAAAGAAAGAAAGAAAGAAAGAAAGAAAGAAAAGAAAGAAAGAAAAGAAAGAAAGATAAAGAAATAAAAATTGAGATACTGATATATATGAAAATTTGTTGTCATAGATAAGAACAGAAGAAAAAAGAAAGAAAGAAAGAAAGAAAGATCAGATACTGGTATATATATAGTTTGCCATAAATAGATATGAACAGATTTAGAAAGAAAGAAAGAAAGAAAAAAAGAAAGAAACAAAGAAAGAAACAAAGAAGAAAAAAAAAAAAGAAAAGAAAGATGATACTATATATATAAATTGGTTGTCATAGATATGAACAGATTTAGAAAGAAAGAAAGAAAGAAGAAAGAAAGAACGAAAGAAAAATAAAAGAAAGAAAGAAAGATAGATATGAACACGTGCCATGTTTGATGGATGAACAGATTTAGAAAGTTATCCCCTGTTAAGAAAGAAAGAAAGATCAGATCTGATATATATTAATTGGGTCATTGAACTGAACAGATTTGGGTCTTGTCACTGGATCTAACCAACGCCTTTATCCACTGGTATATATGTGTCCTTGAGGAACTATGAACAGATTTAAAGAAAGAAAAGAAAAGAAAAGAAAGAATAAAAAGGGAAAAATCAGATTTGATATATCCAACCATCTAGAAGAACAGATTTAGATAGATAAGAAAGAAGAAAGATCCGAAACGTATATAAATAAGTTTTCAAGAAAGATGAGGACAATAGTTTAATGGATGTAAATCAGTTATCTCCTGTTAATTTTCCCTCATCTCAGAAATATAGATTGAACTCATACTCAAGGGTCTTGAAACGTTGATCAACCAAATCCACTGGCCAACAAAGATGAGGACAACAGTCTACCCGAATAATGTAAATAGGGTTAAGTTTACATACCTCATCTCAGAAATATAGACAGATACTGAAAAGGCCGAAACGTTGTAATAAATATGGCAACAAAGATGAGGATAATAGTCGAATAATGTAAATAGTGAACATAATACCTCATCTCAGAAATATAGACACATACTCAAGGGCCGAAACGTTGCAATAAATATGGCAACAAAGATGAGGACAATAGTCCGAATAATGTAAATAGTGTACATAATACCTCATCTCAGAAATATAGACAGATACTGAAAGGCCGAAACGTTGTAATAAATATGGCGACAAAGATGAGGATAATAGTCCGAATAATGTAAATAGTTTACATAATACCTCATCTCAGAAATATAGACAGATACTGAAGGGCCGAAACGTTGTAATAAATATGGTGACAAAGATGAGGACAATAGTCCGAATAATGTAAATAGTGTACATAATACCTCATCTCAGAAATATAGACAGATACTGAAAGGCCGAAACGTTGTAATAAATATGGTGACAAAGATGAGGATAATAGTCCGAATAATGTAAATAGTGTACATAATACCTCATCTCAGAAATATAGACAAATAATAAATAAATAATAAATAAATTACTTTTTCCATTAATTTTGGAATCTAGAAATGCTACATTTGCTTCTATTTTTTAAAATTAAACTAAAATTCAACATTTTTAACATTATTTTTAGAAAGAAAAATACTATGACAATATAGAATGTTGTAAATGATCATATGAACTCGCAGGATTTTCTCTTTCAAGGCAACAAATATAACAAAGTCCTGAAACCATTCTTCCCTGACGAGACACACTTAAATCTATTTTGTCTATACTTGCCCGACTGCATTGAGCTAATTCGCCGTAAATGTTATCGCTCTTCAATCTCCTCCATCTATTCGCTCATTTCTAATTTGAGATATTTTTATCTTTTATTTTCTTTTATGCTGCATATATGAGTTCTTCTCATATTGCAATAAACCCAGTTTGACTGATTCCTTGCGATAAAAGTCACCAAGACACCTGGCAATTATTGTGTAACCAAACCTCACCAGCTAAACCAGTGTTTCTCAACCATTTTAAGCAACGGCACACCTTGAAGCAAATGAAAATATCACGGCACACCTAGAAGCAAATGAAAATGTCACGGCACACCTAGAAGCAAATGAAAATGTCACGGCACACTTAGCAAAATTTTGAAAGCGTCAACATTTAAAAGTTATGAAACTATAGATTTAAAAAAAATACTCACATAAATATAAAGTTACTTTATTTCAATATTTCTCTTCAATTATTTGTGCAGCTTATTTCGTGTGAAACATGTGCCTGGTGTTTTTTCACGATTTCTTCAATGTTTGGTCGAATGTGTGATCAGAAGACCTTCATTTCTTTGTCAGTTGAGCTTTAGTCTTTCATGCTTCTTACTTTTGATGTTATTTTGGTTTGAGAAGCATAAATAAGAAAAGAAATAAATAAAGAAAAATAGAATGAATAAAATAAAATTGGTCAGGCTTTTTTAGTTAATATGGGATATTCCATTTGTATTGAAATCCAAAATGTATCAATGGATACCGTCGAATGTTTAATTTTGAGTCCTCGATCTCTAGAAATGGAGGTGGAAGAAATAAGTAAGAAATGCATATTATGTAGGATAGATATCGGTTGACTTGGGATTTAAAAAAATAAGATTGTAATTGTCAGGGAAAGTATCCTCTAAAAGTAACAGTTCTAGGGAAGAAGCTGTCTGAGTGGGACTCCTTCCTTAGCCAGACGAACGGAATGTGGATGGTTTGCGACTGTGCACCATGACATGGCAGGTCCGAGTTGTGAAGGTCTGAACTAGCGGAAATCCGGAATGGAAATCGTTTAAAAATCTGTCATGGTAATAGCGTTAGATCCAGTGTTTCTCAACGTTTTTAAACAACAGCACACCTGAGAGCAAATGAAAATATCGAGGAACATTTTTAAAGGGTAGACATTCCAAACCCCGTCGAACACCTTTGAGATATCCAGAGCTACACCATGAGTCTCACCATTGTTATCTAAACCTCTGTCATAGTAATAGCGATAGACCCAGTGTTTCTCAACGTTTTTAAGCAACAGCACACCTAAGAGAAAATAAAAATATCGAGGAACATTTAAGAAGATTTTTAAAGGGTATACATGCCAAACCCCGTCGAACGCCTTTGAGATATCAAGAGCCACAACCTGTGCTTCCCCATTCTTATCTAAACCTCTGTCATAGCGTTAGACCCAGTGTTTCTCAACGTTTTTAAACAACGGCACACCTAGGAGCAAATGAAAATATCGAGGAACATTTAACAACATTTTTAAAGGGAATACATGCCAAACCCCGTCGAACACCTTTGAGATATTCAGAGCCACAACCTGAATCTCACCATTCTTATCTAAACCTGTGTCATAGTAATAGCGTTAGACGCAGTGTTTTTCAACTTTTTAAGCAACGGCACACCTAGAAACAAATGAAAATGTCACGGCACACTTAGCAAAACTTTGAAAGCGTCAACATTTAAATGTTTTGAAATAAAAGCATAAATTAAAAATATAAACATATAAATATAAACTTACTTTATTTCAATGTTCCTCTTCAACTATTTGTGCAGCTTATTTAGTGTAAAATCTGTGCCTGGTGTTTTCTTGTTTGTTTTTTTTTTTCACGATTTTTCAATGTTTGGTTGAATGTGTGATAAGCCTTTAGAGTTTTATCGCAAAAGCATAACCACTTCTTACCTCTTACCTGTTACTCATACAGCCTAAGCTTCTTCAGTAACCGTGTACCTTGAGTGTCTCTTGAGTGTATAGAGTGAACATTACTAAAAAAAAACATTGGAACAAGGAGCTTTTGAAACAGGCCTTTAAATCTAAGGCTTAGCTGCACCATGACTAAGCTTGTAGTATAGAACACCATATATCCGACCCTTAAAATCAGCAAGAACTTGTCACAGATATAAATAGGAGCTTATCAGTTAAGATTAGACAAGTTTCATTATGTCCTTGTTTTCTGAATATCTAATGTAACGAATAATTCATTTTAGCTCTTCATATGAAATGTGAGAAAATACCAACTGACACTTTGGGATAAAACCAATAAAGATGAAGACGCTAACTTGACAATGTGCGGAATAATGATGTCTAACCATTCATATAATTTATAAATATTAGATAAAGCACGATTGGTTGATTCGTTTTTACGGCTTATCAACCCTTTGCAGGTCATTTAAAGCCGGAGAATTAACCCATAGCTAGGGAAAGAAGTTGATTCATACCTGTTCTGAATAAACAAACAAGAAATTATAATTTGGATATAAAGTGGGGGATCTAGTCTATATAAAAATCAATACATAAACTGATCACTCACTCTGTGGTCAAGTCAGTTTCTATACATTTATATTCTAGAGAATGTAAATAAGTCTAAAAGGCATACCTGTGAAGCTAATCAATATTTTATTGATTAACCGGTTCGTTTTCGACGGTTTATCAACCCTTTGCAGGTTACTTAAAGCCAGAATTTTTTTTTTAGATTGTAAGAAATTTTTTATAGATAAGTAACTGTTTAGTGATACAACATTTACTAATTAACCCATAGATAGGAGATACAGGTGAATTCATACCTAAACAGAATTTTATAACCAAATAAAAAATTGTAATATGGGTATAAAGTGGGGGATAAATTCTATATTACAATCTATATATAAACTGATCTCTCACTATGTGGTCAAGTTAGTTTCCATACGTTTATATTCCAGTGAATGTAAATAAATCTGAAAGACATACCTGTGTAGTTAATCAGTATTTCATTGATTGATTGATTCGTTTTTTACGACTGATCAATCCTTTAAAGTCAGAAAATCTTTTGAAATTGTAATTCTTTTAGTGATACTAGCCTTACAATTTAGAAGAGGGGGGGATTCAAGTTTATTTGTGTATAAGTGAATATAACGATCCCAACTGGAATTCGACCTTGGCTCACCGATTTCCAATTCTGGGCCTTAATCCATTACACCACCTGCACATCCAAGCTTGCAGAATGTGATATTCCCACTCGGTCACCCATCTAAGTACTGGCCAGGCTCGACGTTGCTTACGTTCGGTGATCGTATAGGAAATAGATAAAGCCGAGCACATAATCTTTTCAGTAAATATAATTTAAAAAGATAAGAACGTTAATCCTTCCATGGCAGACATAATCAGTTTATGTTTTATTGGACATCAACGGGTGTTATCGATTGATGGTTTAAAATTGAAACTTTTCTTCGACTCTACGAACATCATTCGCAATTCTACATTTCATGAAAATTCAGAATCACAAAGACAAAAAGAACTGCACCAAATAACAGAAGTCACATAACTTGAGGACAGCAATGTTTGTTTTGTTTTGTTTTACGGTATATCAACACTTCAATGGGTTATTTAATGCCAACTTTATTTATTGATAGTAATATTTTTTTCAACAATGTATTGCTGGTAATATTTTTTCCTTCAAAAATGAATTGCTTGCAATATTTTTTTCAAAAATTTTTATTGCTGGCAATATATTTAATTTTTCAAAAATGTATTGCTTGTAATATTTTTTCTTCTTTTCAAAAATATATTGCTGGTAATATTTTTTCTTTCAAAACTTCATTGCTGGTAATATTTTTTCTTTCAAAAATTCACTGATGGTAATAACTTTTTTCTTCAAAATTCACTGCTAGTAATATGTTTACAAAAATTTATTGCTGGTGTTAAAAACCTATTTTTATACTTTCATAGTGTTTTGACCCCAGTTAACTATTTGCCCGAAGCTGGGACCCTAACAGGTACTACCACTCTATGTCAGGGTGGACCTGGGAACACCAGCAATTTAAAGGTGGTTCCATGCTCCTCAAAACCTTCTGATCAGAGGACTTGCTGTTGGGTGTAGTTTACCGTCTTACCCAGAATGGGGTGTTATCGACTGATTTTTTAGAATTTAAATTTTTTTTCAACTATATAGTCTTCATTTCATTCGCATTTCTACAGTTCATGGAGTGAGTATTTTCTAGGATTTTCTATGTCTTTTTTGCATTTATACAAGTGTTTCTCAGGACTCTATCTTTGGACTTTCATTAATCCTAGTGTTCATCAATGACTGTCCTGATGTCATCAATCCGCAAAATGATATTCGTGCTGATGACACAAGTATTTACTCCTGTTTTAATAGTAAATCTGATCAGCTCGATAAGGCCAAATTGACAGCTGATGTGAAAAATGACTTAGAAGCTGTTGTTAACTGGGGCAAGTAATGGCTTGTTAATTTTAAACCTCGTAAACGAAACTGCACTCTTTTAATCGTTTCATCGAACCCTTTTTATCTTTCATCATTATGGCTGATGCTAACCTCCTGGAGAGTGATACATTGCTTCTTTTTGAATTAACGTTTACTGCTGACGTGAATTCGGACAATTATATTGGTTCAATTGCTAGCTCAACTGCTAGGAAATTTGGTTTTTCGTTCTAGACATTTTTTCACCATACATATACATACATATATCTTACATATTTATGAGTCTACCATTCGTTCTTGCTTTGAATATTGCTGCCAAATATGGTCTGGTTATCCTGTTATATATTTAGAGATTCTTGATAAAATCAAAAGAAGAATCTGCAATGTTATTGATCCTGACCTGGCATCCCGGCTTCAGTAACTTTCCTACCGCCGTAACATAGCTTCCGTGTGACTTTTATATAAATACTCTCATGGTAATTTTTCTGATGATCTTTCTTCTATGGTACCTAGACTTTATGAATTCCAGCGTAGTCCTAGATTGGCAGCTAGGTCTCAACATCTTATAGTTGAAACGTCTAGATGTAACCGTAAGTTCTATGCTAAGAGTTTCTTCTCTTGCATTCCTCACTTGTGGAACTCTCTTCCGGCTTCTTGCTTCACACTCAACTTTGATCTTCAAAAATTCAAATGCAATGTCAATCGTTATCTATTGTCTTCTCAATTCTTGTTCTTTTATTGGTCTGTCGCCATAATAGTGTTTTTTTTTTCATCTTCGGTGTGCGTTAGTGACTTTTTGGCTTTCTTGGGGTGAAATGATTAATGCAGACGACATGGCGAAAACGATTTATACAAATTGCCCTGTACAGAAGTTTTCAACTCAAATTTGATTGTAAATCATTACTTCTTTACTCTTTCATATGACCACCATCGATATTTGATAATGTCTTTTTTTCCAAAGTTCGTTAGAAGATTAGACAATCTGAATTTTTTACACTAGATGAATACCCGTCCTGCGAAACGAAAAATGTAACTTTCCAGAAGTATCCTTACTGTTATAAAATTCTTCTATAAACAACATTTTCAGCAAAAAAAATATCTCTATATATTTCTGAGATGAGGTATTGTAATTATTTACATTGTTCAGAATGTTTTACTCATCTTTATTGCTATATTCATGACGTTTCAGCCATTGTATGCTCCGGGTTTCATCAAGGAAGGGTGAATAAATCTGGTGAGAAGAGACATCCTTGTCTTATGCCATTCTATTTTATGTAGCTACTCAATTTTCTATCCATATGCAAGTGGTTTGATCCCAGTATAAGTTTTGGATTATTCTCACATCCTTTCCAAATAGATTGAGTTTTCCTAGCAGTTCAAATAGATCTATGTGTTGTGCCTTAGCAAATGCTTTTGCATAATCTATAAAACATAAGTGCACATCCTTCTGCATTTTTATTACTCTCTTTCATATCATTCTGATCATAAGTGTAGCATTATTTCAGTGTCCTTGACAAAGCTGCACTGTCTATATTTCTGAGATGAGGTATTGTAATTATTTACACTATTTTCATTGTACAGACTGCTATTCTTATCTTTTTTCAACCTCATCCCACAGGGCTTTGTTAAAAAAAATATAAAGGAGAAACAGGCTGCCCCCTTAAGATTGCAAGAACATCGTAAAACTATAACACAGGGGAAAATAGAAAAACCAGGCATGGCCGACCATATGTGGAGGGGAACGGGGGATCACCGCCCCCTGTTTGGATGAGGTTGAAATAGACAGAGAACATCACTGGAAAATACGAAAACTTAAGGAATCAGCACATATGCTAGGCCACAAAAATCTCCTAAGCAGGCCAAGCGTAGAAATGAACACAAAATGGAAACTAAGAATATGGAGTGATAGAGAAAAGCAGAAATACCAACAACAACGTTGTAATATGAGCTCTGGTAAAAAAATTTATACTAAGATATTAAGTTTAAAAGTCCCAAAAATTCATACACTGATATCCTCAAGGACATAGGGATCAATGTATAAAAGCATTGCTTAGATCCAGTGAAGTATGATTTTTTTACACTAGCTGAATACCCATCCTGCGAAAGGAGAAATGTAATTTGCCAGTAGTATCCTTACTGTTATGAAATTCCTCTATGAACAACATTTTCAGCAAAAAAAAAAATCTCTATATATTTCTGAGATGAGGTATTGTAATTATTTACACTGTAATGATTAGCAAGCTTGTCTCGCTAGATCTATAACGACTGAGTAGAGAGTTCTATCCTCACTGGATGCTCCATGATTTCACCCTTGTACCACACTTAGAAGATCACCATTACATTATATGTTAGCGAATTGTTTTGTTTTATTGATGTAAAGTGGGGCACACAATGTTGGCTCCGAAATTATGAGTCTTAAAAAGACTAATAACCGATGTCATTCGCAAACAGTATCACAGCTCTTCAGTACGGCTACACATCCGAATACCTCAACTCAGGATTGAAACCCAACTAATTGGTGTCAGTCAGAGTTTCTACAACTGAGCTATCTTCATTCGACAGCTAAATCAAGCTTATTGTCTTTACGGATGTAACCAAATATCAGTCAGCCGGAGTGCTCCATTCATTTTACTGAAGAGCTTTGCATTAACACAGATGGCTGTTGTTTGTAGAGTTATCTTGTCATTTTGTGCTGAATTGAAATAAATTTTCAAGAGCTAAATTATGTATATCGAAAAGGTAACAAATCCTCTAGTATATAATCCAAGAGGATCCTAGTAATATAAAATATTAAAACCTATCCATAAAAGAGCTCAATGTATTTATTATTACAGAGCAAATAATTAATAAACAATAAAATCCAAAATTACCTCATATGGGGAATAGGCTATTTCAGCAGTCGAAGATATCGGTCGTCTGTCTTATCAACCCCGGTGTGGACTAAGTTCGTGTCAGAAATAGAAATTTAACTGTGAAAGCAAAAAAAAAAAAACACCAGTCGAAAAACTACCGAATTTAACCCTTTCAATATTTCAGTCAGACGAAAGGCACAAGACATATATCTTTGCTCTCTCTCTCTCTCTCTCTATCTCTCTATCTCTCTCTCTCTCTCTCTCTCTCTCTCTATCTATCTATCATTATCTGTTTCTTTCCTTTCTCTCTCTCTTTCTCTCTCAACCAGTTTATATCTCCTTATGTAACTTTACCTCTCCCTCTCTCTCTCTCTATATCGCTTTCTCTCTCTCTATCTCTCTATCTTTCTGTTTCTTTCCTCTCTCTCTCTCTCTCTCTTTCTCTCTCAACCAGTTTATATCTCTTTATGTAACTTTACCTCTCTCTCGCTCTCTCTCTCTCTCTCTCTCTCTCTCTCTCTATCTGTGACTATGTTTATCTCTCATTCTCGGTTCTCTCTCTATCTATCTATCTCTCTATCTTTCTGTTTCTTTCCTCTCTCTCTCTTTCTCTCTCAAGCAGTTTATATCTCTTTATGTAACTTTACCTCTCTCTCTCTCTCTCTCTATCTCGCTTTCTCTCTCCTTTTCTATCTCTCTATCTTTCTGTTTCTTTCCTCTCTCTCTCTCTCTCTCTTTCTCTCTCAACCAGTTTATATCTCTTTATGTAACTTTAACTCTCTCTCTATCTCTCTCTTTATCTGTGACTATGTTTATCTCTCATTTTCGGTTCTCTCTCTCTCTCTCTCTCTCTCTCTCTCTCTCATTCTCTTGGTCTCTCATATATCATTTTCTGTCGTTCTCACTCAAGTTTCTCTCTCTCTCTCTCTCTCTCTCTCTCTCTCTCTCTCTCTCTCTCTCTCTCTCTCTCGTAATAATTGAATAGAATAATTGAAGTCAAATCGCGGTTATGAAACTTTTTCCCCAGACATGAACTCTTTTCAGTATCAGAATTAAAAAAATAAAAAATAAAGATAAAATTAAAAGACGACGATGACTGAAACAAAAATAGACACCATAAATAGGTAAAAAGAAAAATAATAATATCAAATTCTGAATGAAGTTTCACCTTTAAGAAATAAATCCCGATTCTTAATTAAACATGGAGGAATTAATAGATTTTTTTTTATATTCTCTTCAGATTAAAAAAGATCCATCCAAGCCCGGCTTCTTAGAAAGAAAAAAAAGAAACGATATTTTATTTATTCCCTCATTCGATTGGCTGCCTAATAAATTCTCAAACAAGCCGACGCAAGTTAATCTTGTAAAATCTATATCTTAAATCCCCCCCGGTCTTAACCGAAAAACCATCCTGGAGATGACGATAAACTTCAACCACGTTCTGGGTAAGACGATAAACTACGTCCGACAGCATGGCCTCTGATCAGGAGGTTTTGAGGAGCGTTGAACCACCTCTTAATGACACGCTACACAATGGCTTTCATGTTTCGGTACTACGCTGTGCCTCTTCAGGCGATGATAAATGACTGCCGAGTACATGATTTTTTTTTTTAATTTCAAAAGCCAAATATCCACTCTTTTTTCGAAATAAGAAGAGAAGACGAGAAAACAAGATCAGAATTAAAATGAGGCTTGTGGGTTTACCCTGATTAACCAATTAGATGTCAGACCTAGGCTAAGTTCAAAATTAACGTAAAACAGGAAATATCAGTTGGACACCGCCTGTGTGAAAAAGAGCAGCATATCGCAATTCCCTCCGCCTCTGCTGTGGCTGTAAAACTTCGTGAATATAACAATAAAGATAAGGACAACAGTCTGGACAATGTAAACAGAAATAATTATTTGGCTGTGCCAATGTGTCGGATATACACTGTCCCTACAGTAGCGCATGACCGGGGAGGGGGAGATTTGATGTTCTATGGTTGTTAAACGATTCTGGACGTTTAGTCAAAGATGGTGACAACATTCCTCAGATCAATCGCATTCAAGATCCTCGATGCATTCGTTGGCTTCATAGTTCGTATTTCGAGCCCAACCTCAGGTTGCATCAAACATTTTCACTAGTAAAATGATGGGACATAGCTGCCAATCTAGTACTGAGCTTAAATTCGTAAACTCTGTGTACCAAAGAGGAAATATAATGAAAACAGTTGCCATGAAGGTATTAAAGGGGAAAGACAATGGGAAGCTAGAGTTACGGCGGTGGGAAAATGACTGGAGCTGAGATGCAAGGTCAGGATCAATAACATTGCAGATTCTGCTTTGAATTTTATCAAGAATCTCTAAACGTACAGCAGGAACACCAGACCATCTGAATTGTTTAATTTTATTGTAAAAGCAATTTTGGATTTTGAAATATTCATAAGTTACTATTTTATTTTAAAATATTTAAGAAATCTTCATTTTAACATATTACTGAGTTGTTCAATTTTGTTTTAAATATATTTTCGTTTTCCTTATTTTAAAATATTAATAAGCTATCATTTTTTTTATTTATTATTTCGAAATATATTCATTATTTATTTTAAAAGATATATATATTTTTAATAACTTAAAAGCCGCCCTATATTAAGCAAGGTCCTGCGGAGGGCACTTGATTGGGACTTCGGCTTGTTCAGGAGTTTGAGAGTCCCTAAGTCTCCTGGCTGCCGTTTGATCTAGGTTTTCATTTGCTCGGGACTTAGTTTTCCTCGCTGGCTCTTTTGATTGCAATCTGGTCCTCTGTTGATGGAAATTTCTTTTTGCAAGGCATACTGCTGCCGTATGTGAGAGGCAACAACGAACTACAGAAGAACTCAAAATTGATTGCTGCATTTCAGCATTGCATTAATATTTAAGCTTACTTTTTCAAGGATAATTTTTCTGTCGTCACTTAATTTAAAGACAATTTGATGTGCGTAGGTCCTTACTTTGCGTACAAACAATTTAAGCATTGCATTAATATTTAAGCTTACCTTTTCAAGGAAAAAATTTTCTGTCGCCACTTAATTCAAAGACAATTTGATGTGCGTAGGTCCTTACTTTTCGTACAAACAATTTAAGCATTGCATTAATATTTAAGCTTACCTTTTCAAGGATAATTTTTCTGCCGTCACTTAATTCAAAGACAATTTGATGTGCGTAGGTCCTCACTTTGTGTACAAACAATTTAAGCATTGCATTAATATTTAAGCTTACCTTTTCAAGGATAATTTTTCTGCCACCACTTAATTCAAAGACAGTTTAATGCGCGTAGATCCTTACTTTGCGTACAAACAATTTAAGCATCTCATGAATATTTAAGCAGCTTACCTTTTCAAGGATAATTTTTCTGCGTAGGCCCTTGCTTTGCGTACAAACAATTATTTTATTTCATGAGTGACTTTCGCCGGATTTCGCAATTACTTTCGATTATTTCGAAATTTATTTCCAAGATATAAAAATTGTTATCGTACAAAAAAAAAAAAAAATTCTCACAAAAAATTACGTAAAAAATCGCAAAAAACATTTCCAGTAATGAAAACTTGGGAATCCAAAATTTCAGGATTGCGGTTCCGGATCTGGCTTCTGGGAATAAAGTTGAAAAAGTGTGACACACTGACATTCGCATTTATTTATATATAGATTTTCAACATATTTTTAACATTTTTTTAACGTTGTTTTATTTTTGTTTTTTTGTTGTAGATTTTTATAATTTCATCCCTAGCAAGGCGATAAAGCCACCAAAACGCAAGGAGTTACTTGGCGTGAAAGAAAATGAAAAGACTTTAGGAGAAGGAAACTCAATTCTAAACTGGAAACGAGGGATAAATCTCTAGCGGAATGGTTCTCAATCTTTTCTTACCCATGGGCCACTAATTTTCTTTGGCGGACCCCCATGATGAAAAAAAGGCTTATTTTATTTTTTACTTATACATAAGTTCAGGAATTGTATTATAGAAATAGTAAATTTATGTGCATTATTTTAAAGTTCTGGAATCTATCTTGCATATCTATAAGTATACAATTCGTCCATGCTTCGAATATTGCTGCCATTTACGGTCCATTGCCTCTGCTATTTACTTGGAGCTCTTTGATAAGATCCAAAGAAGGATCAGCAATATTGGTCCTGATCTGACGGCTCGGCTTCATTCATTTGCTCACCTCTGTAAGGTTGCCTCTCTGTACCATTTTTATTCAATGAGATTCCCGTGGTTGGTGCTGATCTGCAAATTTTTTGGGTTTATATATATATATATATATATATATATATATATATATATATATATATATATTCGCTCCCATCGATGTCAATGAGAGTCGAAGATCACCTCCTTTTCACAATGCCACATCTATTACGGGTTTTTGATAGTAAGACACATGACTCAAACCTAATTCAACAAAAGCAATGACGTAGAGGTGTACTTTTTTTTCAAGAGTAGTGTATATTTTTAGCAGTGCAATTTGTTTTCTATATAGTATGCTTCTTCCATCTTTTTTGTGTCAACCCCAGTAATATTACATGAACCCCTGGGAGTCCATATGGTCCCAGTTGAGAAATTCTAGTGTTAACCGGACTATTATAAAAGATTTTTTAAATATCCATGTTATTACTTTATTTATTTTTTAAATTGATTATTTTAAAACATTTTCATTATTTTTTACATATTACTGAGTTATTTATTTTTGATTTGAATATATTTCTTTTCCTTAGTTTTTATTTTAAAATATATTCATTACTTATTTTAAAATATATACCGTGTTTATTTTAACGTATCATTGGATTCTTTATTTTTATTAGGACCTTGAATAAATTTTCGCTGTTTTCCAACAGATGTCGTTCCCGAAACTGCGTGCGTATAGTTTCAGAGAACACATCTGTAAGGAAGTACTATAAGCAAGCTTGAAATTCAGTGTATGTCATTTCGGCGAAGTGTAAACAACTGCGTTTTTCACAGCGTTAAACATCTCGGATTTCATGCCAAAGAAAGTGTATATACGGGGAATTTTACTGCACTACTTTATTCAAAAGAAAGCTGCAGCTGAAGCGTGCAAAGTTCTTGCTGAGAATTACGGCGACCGTGCTCTGTCGGAAACAACATGCAGGGATTGGTTTACACGCTTCAAAAATAAAGATCTGATGTTGAAGATAAAGAACGCTCTGGTGCACAGAAAAAGATTGACGACGAAGAATTGAAGCCATTACATTATGAAGACTCATGTTAGGAGCAAGCTGAACTTTCAGAATAATTAGGAGTTGATCACACAACAGTTTCGAAGCGTTTGAAAGCATTAGAAATGAGCAAGAACATTGGGTACTGAATGTGTTGAAGTCAAGAGATATCGAATGACCTCTTGTCACATGTAAACAGCTGTTTCAGCGGAAGAAAAGGAAAGATTTTTGTATCGTATTGTGACCTGCGATGAAAAGTGGATACACTACGATAACACTAAGTGCAGAAGATCGTGCGGTAAGCCTGGCAATGCATCAACATCGGCAGGAAAGCCGAATATCAAGGTTTCGAAGCCACCCACCGTATTCACCAGAGCTCTTCCTTGTGGTACTTATATATTGGGAAAGATAATGTCATGTCCCTTCAGCATCAAGGTGATCATGGTTCTCCACACATTCCCTTTTTTATCATCTGTGAATTGCTCTGATTATCACTTGTTCCTATCGATGGCGTATGGCTTGGCTGTGCAACAGTTTCATTTTATGATATCAAAAAAATGGGTTGACACCTGACTAGCGTCAAAAGACATGTCATTTTTCCGACGTGGAATTCAAACGAATTTTTTTTATTTAATTTGGCGGAATTACTCGAGTATAGGGCGAGTTTTTATATTAATTTTAAAGCAAAATATCGGGGGAAAATCTTTTGAAAGAAGTTAAAAATCATGCACAAGGTAAAGTTTTTTAGAGGGGTTAAAAAACATGAAAAGATTTTCAGAGGCCATGCTAT